CTTTATATGCTAAAAAAAAGAGGGCGTCTAGCAAATACTGGGATATTCGTGAGGTTGCCCGCTAAGTCACGATCCTTCTAGAAACTCCAGCGCGCATGCTCCCAGATTCGCGTGACTTCCGCTGTCGTAACAATATTTTATAATGTTCGGCAATACACTTAAAACCTGAAATTGTAATTTCTTTTGTTATGATTTTATGTGTTATTCATATCAGTAAGGAAATCAGACAGACATTAGAAAAAACTGTTCAGAATTTCTTTTTGAAATTTTCCATCAATAACACTGATTGTTTCAGCCACGAGATGTCCATTTCAAAGAAATTTTATTTGATTAGTCGCTTCTAGTTGATTATTTTAAAATGTGCGTTGATTTTTCCAGAATGGTCTATAAATATTTCCCTTAAATTTCCCTGCGCTGTATTATTCTGGTGGAGATTTTAATACGTTATCAGTAATGGAAAAATAGCTTCGGATGACAAATAGGGTAATTTGCTGAGTACAAGAGGTTATTAAATTTTTCTTGTTTGTATAGTAACTTAAACTACGTGTACTGTTTCCTATCTCTGGAGTTTCCTGTTTGTTTCCCAGTAGATTTTCGTTTCTCTGACGTCTTAATACTGAGAACCTTGTGTAAGCGTTGAGTTAATGTGCCAAAACTTGTATTTATACCAATTTTAATTTACAGCATCAAAAGTGTCAATAATATTTGGTTTATTGTACCAAAACTCATACGTATAACAAATTTAATTTACAGGATCAAGCTGGGGTTAACATTAGAGTTACTGTACCAAAATTTGTTTTTATATAAAATTTATTTTACAGCATCAAAATTGGGGAGAAAATTTAAGTTACAATACCAAAATTTGTATTTATACAAAATTTAATTTACAGCATCAAAATTGGGGAGAAAATTTAAGTTACAATACCAAAATTTGTATTTATACAAAATTTAATTTACAGCATCAAAACTGTGAATAACATTTGAGTTACAGTACCAAAATCTGTATTTATACAAAATTTAATTTACAGCATCAAAACTGTGAATAACATTTGAGTTACAGTACCAAAATCTGTATTTATACAAAATTTAATTTACAGCATCAAAACTATGGATCGTATGTGATTTATTGTACCAGATACTTTGTTTTTGTTCTTCATAAAATCCATTACGCACATTGTATTATATATATATCATTATATTATTAACGAATTTCTATAGACTTGTGTTTCCTAAAATAAGCTCATTAAACACTTTTTATCTTGAGTATCTAGTTTTTAATTAGTGATTTTAATGAATTCCAAGATGCTGCTGATATTATAGAACTTTTACAAACATAGCCACGTATTTTCCTCTCTAGGGTTTGTAGCTCATCTCAGCTTTTGTTGGCCAGGTGGTTAGGGCACTCGACTCGCAATCTGAGGGTCGCGGGTTCGAATCCCCGTCCCGCCAAACATGCTCGCCCTTTCAGTCGCGGGGGCGTTATATTGTGATGGTCAATCCCACTATTCGTTGGGAAATAAGTAGCCCAAGAGTTGACGGTGGGTGGTGATGACTAGCTGTCTTCCCTCTAGTCTTACACTGCTAAATTAGGGACGGCTAGCGCAGATAGCCCTCGTGTAGCTTTGAGCGAAATTCAAGAACAAACAAACAGCTCTTGTTTCACGGGTCTCACTACTCTTTACAACAAAACATGTTTAAAATTATCATTTATAAATTGATTTTCAAGCTAATCCTACAAGTGTATACGTCATTTTGTCGCAATATAGCAGTGTTAAAAATCTAGGAACAAAAAGAGAGAAAAACTAAAGTACCGTCATGCTGACAAGCCTGTTCACATTCAATTAGAAGCTACGAAATTCACTCTTCGTCACCAACAACACGTACAGTGTTCGAATATAAGAAACGAAAACAAGATATTTCTTACCTGGCACTAAACAACAGCAAATAAAACGAAAGAAGAATTTTTGTTCTGACGTTTCGGTGGCCATCTAGTTCATCGTCATTAGAAAAATGAAATAACAATATAGATGAGTTAGCTCTATAGTCACCAGTCTTGAGGGTTACTACTGATCGTTATTAGAAACGACAGCTACTGAAAGCTCACCTTATTCCAATAACATACATAGTATTAAACACAAAACATATTTTCAAGATTTTTCAATAAATAAGAGACCAAGAATGATAAGTGCTTAAACGTACAAGAGACGTTTGTACAAGATAAAGAACTAAATATGTTTGTTTTGAATTTCGCGCAAATCTACACGAGGGCTATCTGCGCTAGCCGTCCCTAATCTAGCAGTGTAATACTAGAGGGAAGGCAGCTATCCAGCACCACGCACCGCCAACTCTTGGGCTACTCTTTTACCAACGAATGAATATTGGGATTGACCGTCACATTATAACGCCCCC